AATAGATAAGAAAGTATGTCATGAACTTGATTCAGCTTTATGTTTAAATTTTTTAACATGATTTGGGTTCATATGCTCATGAGTTAATTTTTAACATGAATGTGATTTTGACATATAAATATTGTCCTGTTATGTATTAAAATCGGTGTGCAAAAGAACAGTACAGAAAATAGAATAGTCTTTGTTCAGCTGTTTCAGAACTGGGTTAATGGAAAAATCATCTTAAAGGTTTAATTTCATAGGAAACACATTTGTATTAGTGTGCAGCTGAGGTCCTCTAGTGTCACAACTGAAAATAGCAACAGCGTTTAAAAATTTGTGAAGTGTGTGTTAGTGTGTGTGTGTGACAGAGAGAGAGAGAACTAAAGAGAACAAGGACAAAAGAACTTTCTTTAAAGTTTACATGTAGAGCCAAATGAGTTCAGAAAACTAGCTCCTTATGTTTTACTTGTTAAAAAAAATCCCAAAAATACTTTTTATTTTTAAAGGACAAGATATAGGGTGTACTCTCCCTTTTGTATGTATTTATCAATATTATTTTAAATGTTAAAAACTTAAGAAACCTTACTGTTAAAATTACTGATAGGCTTCAAGTGAAATTTATTTTAAAGTTTGGAATTTCACCCTTTATACAATTGGTTTATTTTTTGAGATGTTTATGAGAGCTAATTCAATTCTCTTTGTTCTAAACTGTTCCTCTCTCACACATACCCTACATGCTCAAGACTGACTGATCTGGCACTTTAATATGGGGAAACTATTTGCTAAATAAGCATAATTTTCATATCAATTTAAATAGAATTCTTTTTAAATAGTAATCATTATTTTTTTCACGTAAACCATTGGAAATACTAGATTATTGCTTTATTTAAAAGTATGACTGACAACTAAGACTGCCACACATTTGAGGGAAAAAATTAGTTTGAGAGAAAAAAATGCCAAGTAGAAAAAAACAACAACAAAGACAATACAGCAATAAAAACCATAGTGCCTAAGGCACTTGACTGCTAACCAGAAGGCTGGTGGTTCAAACCCACCAGCCACTCCTCCGAAGGAAGATGGGGCAATCTATTTCCATAGTGATACTGCCTTGGAAACCCAAGGAGGGTTCGCTCTGAGTCAGGTCTGATTCGAAGGCACATAACAACACCACCACTGAGGAAATGAAGATAATGCTAATTTGTTTTCTCCAGTAAGCCAATTCTAATAACTGTCCTCTTAGAGACTCAAAAGAATAATTTATCCATCACCTAAGAACAGGATCTAAAAGGACAGAAGAGAACAAAAGAACTCCTGGAAATTAAATAATGGAATAGAATGGATAGGGCTAAAGACAATGCTCATAAGAAGTAAAAAATAATCTAATGAATAATAGATCCAATTTAAATTCTCAACTAAGAATTCCATATACAAGATATGTTGGCGAGGAGGAAATAGTCAAGAGATAATAGAAATCAACTTATCTTAGTGTTAATGGAACATGTGAATCTTCAGAGTAAAAAGAACCCCTAATGGTGACTACCACGATTCGTCTGTGAGTTTATTTACTGTGGTGGCTTGAATGTTGATATGATGCTGGAAGCTATGCCACTGGGATCGCCAATATCAGCACAGTCACCCATGATACATAGGTTTCAGTGGAGCTTGCAGACTAAGACAGACTAGGAAGAAAGTTCTGATTTTCTTCTTCTGAAAATTAGCTGATGAAAACCATATGTATCACAACAGAATATTGTCTGATACAGACTGGAAGATGATTTCCCTAAGTTGGAAGACCCTCAGAATACACAGTGGCCACACAATGGGTGTAAAGATCGTATAGAATTAGGCAACATTGGGTTTTGCTGTACATGGGATGGCCATTATTTGGAGTTGACTTAATGACAACAGTAAACATCACTGTTAACTAGCACAAATGTGTAAAGAAGGTCCACAGCTAGACTTACTGAGCTGAAGTTTTAGAAATTTAAATATCCAGTATAAAAGAATCCTGAAAGCTTTCAGAGAGGAATAACAGGGAATCTGCAACAAAATCAGAATCAGATTGATATTTGACTTTCCACCATTAAAACAGAACACTAAAGAACAACTGAGTAATTCTTTGCAATTTGAGGAACAAGGCATCTTATGGCAGACCGTGCTTTAGACTGTTCCCTAGTCATGCTTCCTGTATAAAAATTTTTCTGAAAGAAGTAGTCCAGCTAAATAAAAGAGAAATGCAAAAAATATAATATGATACATAAGAAATGGTGGTAACTGGTAATAATCTTCACAAAGAAAATTATAATTACTACTTGTAGTATCCATTAAATCCTAATGACAGACATTCTCTCTTGAGAGCTGAGGGTTTAGTTGTTTCTATTTCTCTCTCTGCTTAGTTCTTTGCAGTGAATATTCAGTAATCATAGTACAGCAAAGTGACAATGACTGTTTATCTTAAAGTAATAGCCAAAGGCCTTACAATGATCTAAATGATTTTACATGCTATAGCTCTTTTCTCACTTTCTGACTTAACTCCTACCACTTTTCCACATTGCTCACTCTACTGCATGTGTAGTGGCCTCCTTGAACTTTCTTGAACTACTGAGCATTCTCCCAGCTCAGAACTTGCTTTGTGGCCTCTGTCTGATCCATTTCACAGATAATTGCATGCTTATCTCGCTTAGGGTTTCTTGTCAAATGTTATCTGCTTAGTGAGGCCTTCCCTGATAGCTATGTATATTTTTCAGTCCACTGCCCCAAAGTCTCTGTTCTTTTTTCTACTTATTTTTCCTTTTTCGAACTAAATCACTATGTCAAATTATCTTTTTTTTGTTTAACCTTCAAGAAAGGAATACAGCTTTCTTTGATTTTATTATAAAATTTGATAATGTAGGAGTAATGTACAAATGAATATCAGAAGTTGGCATAGGAAAATGGGAACATTGTAAATGTATGTTTATTATATCATCTTACAAAATGAAGAGTTAATTATATTAAATAAATGTCTAACCACCAGAAAAATTAAACTTTTAAGGGTGTTTATCTGTGGGAAGAGAAGCTCTGGTAGCGTAGTGCCTAAGACATTGGACTGCTAACCAGAAGGCTGGAGGTTCAAACCCACCAGCTACTCCTGGGAAGGAAGGTTGGGCAATCTACTTCCATAGTGATACTGCCTCAGAAGCCCAAGGAGGGGTCGCTATGAGTCGAAATCGAATCGAGTTTTTTTTTTTTAAATCTATGGGAAGTTAGACACTAGGGTAAAGAAGAAAAGGAGATTTTAATTTTTCATCTCTGGTTTTGAGTTAGGGAAGAAGTTATATATATTGAAGGTATTCTATTATTTGATTTGACTCACTATTTTTTCTAATTTAGGTTTATGGAGCTATAATTTATATACACTGAATTTAAATTTACTCTTTTTAGTGTAGCATTCTATGAGCTTGACAAATAGTTATGTAATCTTAACTGAAATCAAGAGTAGAACAGTTCTGCCACTCCTCAGAATTTCCCTGTACTCCTTTGTAATCAAATCCTCCCTCAAGCCCATAGCAATCACTGATGTGTTTTTCCATGCTTTTACTTTTAACCTCTGTCTTTAATTTAGTGTAGGTTTCTTATAGACCAAATATAGCTGAGTTTTAATTCTTATCCAGTCCTACAATCCTTATATTTTAATGGATAAGTTTAGACCATTTACATTTAATATAGTTAAATATAGTTTATTATAGATATATTTGTATTAAAATTAATTTATTGCATTTGGTTTTTGTTCTTGTTTTTCATTTCATTCTGCCTGCTTTTGGATTCTTTGTAGTTTCATGATTCCATTTTATTTCTACTATTGGCTTGCTATTTATACCTCTTTTAAACACTGTTAACAGCAATTAATTTAATTTTTAAAATATGTATTTTTAAAAAAAATTAAAATTATGGATCAAAAAGAAATCCATATCAAAACATTAATATGGGTGGGTTTTAGCAGGCTGTGTTTGAATGAGTCTCTCTTATTATTCCTAATTTCTTACAGGAATGATTTCTGATTTAAAAAAAAAGAAAAGAAAGAGGAGAGGAGAGATATACAGATAGTAATGGAGACAGACAAAGTTCCTGGACATTTGTGTGGAAATGGCTTAAAGAGGATAAGATATGAATTAAAGATAATTAATGTTGATAATTTATGTTGATAAAACATAAATTACTGTTTGTTGTGTTTTGGATTGATACTGAAGCAAGTTCATATCTGTGCACTCTAGAATATATTGTAGCTCTTTCTCAGGGGTTTAAATATTTTGTCTTGAGCAGAATTGATGATTTTCATTGACTTATTTCTATCATATATATTCAAAACTTGTAGGTTAATTATACCCTTGTGTAAGTAATGCTCACACATAGTCTTAAGTGGTGAGTAATGCAGGTCTTTGGATGATTCAGATGGTTTGTGCTCATCTGCTAACCTAAAGATGGGCAATTCAAACCCAGCCAGTGGCACTGTGACAGAAAGACCTGCGATCTGCTTCCATAAAGATTATTCCCAAGAAAACAATATGGAGTAATTTTACTTTGTAACACTGGGTTACCACAAATCAGAATCAGCTCTATGGCAACTGGTTTTTGTTGTTGTTATTGGTTGGTTGTTTGCATAAATAATTGTTGTTGTTGTTGTTTGCTGTCAAGTCGGCCCGACTCATAGTGACCCCTCCTTGGGTTTCCAAGGCAGTATCACTACAGAAGTAGGATGCATACCACTAAAATTAAAGTCCCTTCTCAGAAAGAATAAATACAGCTATTAGAGTAGCCTTTAAGAAACTAAGATCTTTGTAAGATCAATTCTATTGTACTAACAATTTCCAAAGTAATGTACAAGTAGATATTTTTTAAGAAGTATAGATTCTATTTTCTACATCAACATAAGAGCAATAATAATATAACAATTAATTTTATCACCTCTCATTTTATTCCTTAAAACAGGCTCCATATGTGCTTTATTACTGATCTGTGACTTTTTGTTTTCTTTACAGCTATTCAAAGGTTTTGTGCATAGCATTTGAGGTACTTCAGGGCTTGCAGTATATGAACAAACATGGTATAGTACACCGTGCACTGTCTCCTCATAATATTCTTTTAGACCCAAAGGTTTGTGTCAAGTAAGATAATACATTAATGCTTGTTTATTATTTGTGGTTGGATGCTACTGAAATCAGGCCTACTCAGAGGGACCAGACAATGAGAATGTGTTTTAAGGATCTTCGTAATGAAAAGACTATGTGAAAGTGATATCCTTGTGGTTGTTAAAAAAAAAAAAAAAATAAGAATCTTAAATTATATAATTCATACATCTTTCCCATGGAGTTTTTTTATTTTTCTTCCAATACTCATTTTCTAATTTTTTTTTCTTTCTCTCAAATTGTTTTTTTTATTGTTTTTTAAAAGGTGTGCCTTGTGGCTTCCCAAGCCCCTCTCTTTGAGTTTACTTTTGTTTTATATAAACTTTTCAGAATATTTATATAGAATGTTATTCTTATAAACTTAACTGTATTATGTTTTCTCTTTTTTATTCTTCTTCCCTCTTTTCTTTCCCATTTATCTTTATATACCAGCTGTTAATACCTACCTTTTATATTGGAGTGCTGCCTCTTTATTTGGAAATCTTATGGAAGATTAATAAGAAACTATGCATCAATAACAACAACAACATATAACCCTTTTGTGTAATTTTTGTGTAATTTCAAGAATAATCATAGTTTCATTTCTTTTGATAAGTAATAAAAAGATTTTGAAAATTTCTTGGAAACTTTTTTCTATTTCAGTAAGATTATCTCTTTTCTCTGATTATGTTCCAGTCTTTTAACACAAATGTGTGGTATTAAAAATCACAAAAGAGAAAATGATTCTTATTAATTTCATATTTATGACAATGGCATATCATTGCCATAACCAATCTAAATTGTTTTAAAATATCATCATTTTCTAATTCTGGAAAATAAAATAGTTGGGAAGAAAAGAAACAAACCTAAACTTAAAATTAACTTAATTTTTTTAAGCTATAACCATGTAAAAGTAGGAAAGTTTAAAAAACTATAAAATTTATATTAAACAGTAGTAAAAATTGTTGGAAATCCAGAAGATTCACCAATTTCTTGATGATTTTGAACCAGTCTTTTCAAGTTAAGAACTCCTGTGTCAGGATTAAATTATTACATTAGGAATGAACTTGTAACTTCCTGGAAAAAAAAATTATTTTGTGGAAATGGAAATTACTAGAAAACATTCTAACCAAGGATTCAAGAAAAATGAGAACATTTTCAATTTATCTTAAAGCCTTGGATAATATAAACAGCCAAAATTTTTAAGAAAATGTAATTTGTTATTTTGAGATATACTCATATACACACTATAGATACATATACATACATACATCCATGCATATGGAGCCCTGGTGACATAGCATGAGTTAAGTGCTCATTTGTTTAATGACAGGTCAGAGGTTTGAATCAACCCATGGCTCTGGAAGAGAAAAGACCTGAGATCTCCCCTTTAAATATTACAGCCTAGGAAACCCAATGGAACAGTTCAACTCTATCCTATAGACAGAGTCTCTGTGAGTCAGAATCAATTCAACAGCACACAACTATCTATCTACCTATACACAGTATATTAAACATTGGCAGATAGCTTGTGATAAAATTATGGTAAGTTAAAATATAATTCTTAATGTTTATATAATTGTGTTCTTATAAAATATATAATGATAATTTTTGTTCCTAGTAATGTTAATATTTTATATAGATATAGATATATAATAACATAATGTATAATACTGCTTTTTCTCCTTTTATTGTAGGGGCATATTAAATTGGCTAAATTTGGACTTTATCACATGACAGCTCATGGTGATGATGTTGATTTCCCAATAGGGTAAGCATATGGTTTCTTTATTCTGAGTTCTGTATTTAACTTTGTAATTTTTAATAGAGTATATATTTTTGTTGCTCTTTGATTTTAAAAAGACAGCTTTTCTTTAATACATCATAATTGCCAGTTTATTTTTTTTTGAAAGAGTAGCAATGAGTTTTTTTCCAGCATCGTAGAGATCTCTGATACTGATACTTCATTGAATTGGCAGATAGACTAATAAAGTATTTATTATCTTCATTTTATAGCGCTTACTAATTAATTGTATTTTATTCAGAGTTAGATATGTTTAAAGTAAGAAACTTCATCATTTCTCATAAAATAACAGTGTGCATCAAGAGACAGAAAAATCACTCTGATGTATTTTCTAGTCTAAGTTTTTAAGATTAATTTCCTGTGTTAAGACCTAATAATATATTGACTCAAGTTGAGTTATAGTAGGTATCAGAGGTAATGGCATAAATTCTGTACCTGCAAATCTATATATAAATTTGGAGGAGTTCATTTGATTACTTCTGATAAGGAATTCCAGATGTATATTGGTTTCCAAGAAAAGAACAGAAATTTTTCATCTTGTATCCAAATGGGTGTCTTTGAGATGGATTTCTGTGTTACATTTATTGGGTGTTGGTTTTTTAAATGTTTAAATAATATAGTTCTCTGTGTGTGTGTGTGTGTGTGTTTCATTTTTACATAACTGTGATGCATTCTCATTATAAAAATAGTACAAAGAATGCCTGTGTTCCTTTCATTCAGATTCTCCTTTTCACTACATTTGTTTATCTCTTTCTCTTTTTTTTCTGTGACTGTGTTTATATATGTGTATAAAACATATTTTTTCGATCTTATAAGAGTAATAGGTGTACATGACCACACTTTACCCCTACATGCTTTTATTTTCATTTATAAAATAGAAAATTCTCTTACATAACTAGAGTACAATGATCAAAACCAGGAAATTAATATTGACACAATATTAAAATATTTTCCATTGTTCTGTGGTTCTTTTTATCAGTATTCATTGCTCTTTGGGTTTGCTAAAGTCATTTCTATCATACCATTACTGAGAATTGTGCCATGGCATAATGGAGTTTTCTTTTTTTTTTTAATCAGAACTTGGTTTATAAACTTAATAAGATATAAACAAACCAAAAACACTACATAAAAAAGCCTTATTTATATTTACCTTTTTATCTTTATAACTTAGATTGTAGGTTTCTTAGATAAGGTAATCTATTAAAATAAATCTTTTATTCATTCCTTCATTTATTCATTCAAAATACATTTTATTGAACATGTTATTATCTAGGTGATGGATATACAAAATGAGTAAGATAGGTTCCCATCCTTAAGAAACTTACTGTATAATGAGAAATTTTTATTTTTATGAACTATTTAATAAGGTACATCAATTTATTATCTTACAGTTTCCTGTGTCAAATATTTGTAGTCATAAGCAAGAAATTAATTCTTCTCACAGACATAAAGCAATGTTTTGTAAGGATAGTTTACATTTTCTATTTGTTTAAAATTCCTTTTTGAAAGTAATAAATTCATAGTAAAACTCAAGCATCTTCATCATTTATACCAATTATATGTGGTAATTGCCTTTTGAAGCAACTACTGCTGCTTCCTTTTGTCTAAATCGATTTGTTTTTGAGACAATTCAAAAACATAATGTGAAAAAAAATTACATATACTTAACAGAATTAGTAAAGAATTATTTTGTTTTCAATTTCTACTTCAAATGCTTTAGGTTCTAGTATTGAATAGAAGGAGGTGGCTTTTCTTAAAGCACATCAAGCAATCTGAAGAAGTACACTTAAATTCAAAATGCTTAGATAGCGTTGGTCTTGTTTTACCTTTTAGTCTAGCTTACTTTGAAGTCTTAGATCCAAGAGTCTTAACAGAGAGTATCAAAGAGCAAAATGTGAAACATTACCCAGGAAAAATAAAGTGATCAAACAGCTAAGGCATGAAAGAAAATATTTATACCAGAAGAAGCTTGCAGTTGATTCAGAAGTCAAATATTAAGGAACAACAAAGTAAAATGCTAACATCTGTTTCAAAATATTCCAAAGAGTTAGAAATTGGACATTCATTTCAGCTGGCCAGTAGCTTAATACCTTGTTAAAACATCAGACAGATGCTGAAAACTCCCTTATATTTATTTACCTCACCAGTCATACTCACAGAAAGTTCTAGTGATTGTCTTTGAGTGTTAAAATACAAGAAGAGAGCATTGTTGAAAAAAGATTATCTACATTAAAGAACAGTCCTAGGGATTGTTATTTTTATTTGTTTCTGTCCTTGATTAAAAGGGAAACTAGAAATTTGGAGCAGGACCACTCTGTGCTTCTAGAGATCACGACCAGAATTTTTGATAAAATAATTTACCTATAATGTTGCTTGAGTTTTCACTACAATGCTGTCACTTTTAGTTTAGATGTGCTGGAAATGCATATTAAAATTGAACACTTTGCTTTGTGGATATATCATGGTGATGATAAAGATATTTTCAATGTTGAATTTGTACCACATTTTCCATTTTTATAAAGCACCTTTATGCATTTACTATTATTCATAACTGTTTTGTGAGGTATTCATTATTAATTCCTGTTTTACAGGTAAAAAATGCAAATCACATATATAATATGTAGTAGGGCTAGAATTAGAACACAAGTATTAAAACATCAAGTCCAGTGCTTTTTCTACTAGATTCCAGCTATATCCAGAGATTTCACACATTCATTAAAAACAAGAGCATTATGCTCTTCTTAGGCTGAAATGACATAATAAAAATTTGTTTTTGAGAGAAATATATGAGTAAGTTAAAAGAGCATATTGATATCATCATGATTATTTCATTAAAATGACAAAGGAATAAAAATTAACTCTTTTGTATGACTTTAAACTTACATTTCCTGACTTCATTGACTTGTACTTTACATGTAAATCAGAAGCACTGGCAGTCATAGTTAAGGGCATGGCTTCAGAGAAAAGAGAGGAAGAGAAGTAGAATTATTATTTGACTGCCTACTTTTTGTAGATGTTGCATTGAAAAAAAAAAAAAAAAACCCTGCTGTTGTTGAGTTGATTCTCACTCAGCAAACCACATTGGGTTTCTGAAGAGGTTAATCTTTATGGAAGTAGATTGCCCAGTCTTGCTTCCATGGAGTGGCTGGTGGGTTTGAACCACCAACCTTTTGGTTAGCAGTCAGATGCCTTAGGCACTGTGCTACCAGAGCTCCTTAGATGCTATATATAGGTAAGTATAACAACAACAGCAACATATTTTGATTACAGTCATTGTTAGAGGATGGCATAAGGATTGTCTCCTAATTATTAAATTATTTTGTATCACTGAAAAAAATAAATGAGAAAAGCATATGTCTATATATAATAAGTAGAGCAGAATTCCACTCATTTTTTTTCAATTTTCTTCAAAAGTTGTTTTATTTTGTTTTTCATTTGTTTCATTTCTAAGCAGTAGGATTCAAGTTTAGCAGTTACCAATATGCCTGATTCTTACGTACTACCTGCTTCTTAAATTGTCTATGTTGTTATGTGCTGTCGAGTCAGACCCGACTCATAGCCACCCCTTCTTGGGTTGCCGAGGCAGTATCACTACAGAAGTAGATTGCCCAACCTTCCATCCGAGGAGTGGCTGGTGGGTTTGAACTGCCAGCCTTCTGCTTAGCAGTCAAGTGCCTTAAGCACTGTGCTACCAGAGCTCCCTAAATTGTCTATGTTGTTGTTGTTATTTGCCGTCGAGTCGGCCCCGACTCATAGCGACCCCTCCTTGGGTTTCCGAGGCAGTTATCACTACAGAAGTAGGATTGCCCAACCTTCCTTTGGAGGAGTGGCTGGTGGGTTTGAACTGCCAACCTCCTGGTTAGAAGTCAAGTGCCTTAGGCACTATTGTTGTTGTTGTTTGCCGTCGAGTCGGGCCCCGACTCATAGCGACCCCTCCTTGGGTTTCCGAGGCAGTATCACTACGGAAGTAGGATTGCCCAACCTTCCTTCTGAGGAGTGGCTGGTGGGTTTGAACCACCAGCCATCTGTTAGCAGGCAAGTGTCTTAGCCACTATGCTACCAGAGCTCCCTTAGCCACTATAGGCAGGTTTAAAACCAAAAAAAAAAAAAAAAAAAAACCACTGCCATCAAATTGGTTTCCACTCATAATGACTCCCCCATTAGGTTTCCAAGATGGCAAATTTTTATGGTAGATCTTGCCCCATCTTCCTTCTGTGGAGCAGTTGGTGGGTTTGAACAGGCAATCTTCTGGTTAGCGAGTCAAACACCTCAGGCAAGGCACTGTGTCATCAGAAATCTGTAAGACAGGTCTAACAGGCATTTTTTTTATAGAGGATTATTTTTTTAAAACAAAATTATAGTGAACATACCTTACATTTACGTCACATTAGTAGTTGGTGAGGAGTTATAAAAATGAATAACCAATGTCCTGGAGGTGATTTTCTACTGTTTTTCAGACAGGAGGCTAAATGTTTATATATTATACAGTATATAAAACATATAAAATATATCATGTATAGTATATTACATAAAATGTAGAACATGTAAAATGAGTGTCTTATACTCATTAGAGACCCACATGAAGAATACAGATAAAATACTATAAGAATTCACAGAGAGAAGGGAATATTTCTCTCTCAGCAGGTGGACTAAGATATGATGAGATTATTCATATAATGAATTTATCAGAAAATTAAAGTTTGGAATTCATCACATTTTATAGAATAGTCTTAATAAATATTCTCTTTTATTATTAAATAAAACTGTTTATACATATGAATTTAGGATATAGCAGATATTAGAAGAGTTTTTGTCTGGTTGGAAAATTTTTTCTATAATAGCATGCTTCTCGTTAACATTTACTATTGAATAACCCTATGGGAGATAATGCAAATATTTATCTTCAATGAAACACACTAGAATTAACCTATATCATGTTTCCATAAGACCTCTAACCTAAATATAGT